GTAGTTGTGTTTAGAAGTGGGTCTGCTTTCAGTAGATTCATTAGTAGATAATATGGTGGAGGATTGTGTAGAGGACGGTGTAGTTGTGTTAGAAGTGGGTCTGCTTTCATTTGATTGATTAGTGAATATTACGGTGGAGGGGTGTGTAAACGTAGGTGTAGTTATAGCAGAAGTGGGTCTACTTTCAGTAGATTGATTAGTGGATAATATGGTGGAAGATTGTGTAGAGGATGGTGTAGTTGTATTAGAAGTGGGTCTGCTTTCAGTAGATTGATTAATAGACATTATGGTGGAGGGGTATGTAAAAGTAGGTGTAGTTATAGTAGAAGTGGGTCTACTTTCAGTAGATTGATTGGTGGATAATATGGTGGAAGATTGTGTAGAGAACTGTGTAGTTGTGTCAGAAGTGGGTCTGCTTTCAGTAGATTGATTAGTGGATATTATGGTGGAAGTTTGTGTAGAGACTTGTGTAGTTGTTTTAGAAGTGGGTCTGCTTTCAGTAGATTGATTAATAGATATTATGGTGGAGGATAGTGTAGAGGACGGTGTAGTTGTATTAGAAGTGGATCTGCTTTCAGTAGATTGATTAATAGACATTATGGTGGATGGTGGTGTAAAAGTAGGTGTAGTTTTAGTAGAAGTGGGTCTACTTTCAGTAGAATGATTAGTGGATATTATGGTGGACGTTTGTGTAGAGAACTGTGTAGTTGTATTAGAAGTGGGTCTATTTTCATTAGATTGATTAGTAGATAATATGGTGGAGGATTGTGTAGAGGACGGTGTAGTTGTATTAGAAGTGGGTCCACTTTCAGTAGATTGATTAGTAGATAATATGGTGGAGGATTGTGTAGAGAACTGTATAGTTGTGTTAGAAGTGGGTCTGCTTTCAGTAGATTGATTAGTAGATAATATAATTGAGGGTTGTGTAGATGACTGTATAGTTGTATTAGAGGTGGGTCTACTTTCAATAGATAGATTATTATATAAATATGGTAGAGGGTTGTACTGTGAATGCAGTTGTTTGTATCTCTGTTGAGGACTGGGTGAATGTGTTAGAGGTTGTATAAGTTTCAGTAGACTGCTCAGTGAAAGGAGTTGTGGGGATATGTGTTGATGATTGTATGGATATATCAGAGGTGGGTAAAGTTTTAGTAGAATGATCAGTGAATAACATTGTTTCTATCTCTGTTGTGGACTGCATGGATGTTTCAGAGGTGGGTACAGTTTCAGTAGAATGGTCAGTGAATGAGGTTGTTGGAATCTCTGTTGTGGGCTGTATGGATGTGTCAAAAGTGGGTAGAGTTTCAGTAGAATGGTCAGTGAAGGAGGTTGTGGGGATCCCTGTTGTGCACTGTATGGATATATCAGAGGTGGGTAAAGGTTCAGTAGAGAGCTCAGTAGGTGAGGTTGTTGGTATTCCTGTTGTGGACTGTATAGATGTATGAGGTGTGAGAACAGATTCAGTAGAATGCTCAGTGAAGGAGGTTGTGGGGATCCCTGTTGTGCACTGTATGTATATTTTAGAAGTGGGTAAAGTTTCAGTAGAGAAATCAGTAGGTGAGGTTGTTGGTATTCCTGTTGTGGACTGTATGGATGTATGAGGTGTGAGAACAGATTCAGCAGAATGATCAGTGAATGAGGCTGTTGGTATCTCTGGTGTGGACTGTATGGACGTTTCTGTGGTGGGTAGAGTTCCAGTAAAGTGTTCAGTGAATAAGGTTGTGGTTAGCTGTGTTGGTGACTGTACGGCTACACCAGAGGTTGTTTTACTTTCATTATAGAGTTCAGTGGATGAAATAGTTGGTGTCGCAGTTTTGAACTGTGAAGATGATTCAGTGGTTGCAGATTCTGTGCTTGAATTTGGGTCTGGTGATGATTCTTCTGATGTTGTACCACTGGTTGATGATGAACGGAATTCTGTTTCTGCAGAAATAGGGAATATTATAAATTGTGATATTAATATAGTAGCTGAGTCTGTGAGCTGTTGAAGATAGATTTTGAAGAAGTTCAGTGCCTCTAAACCTCCTTGGCGGTATGATTTTTTCCGATTTTTTGTGCTGAAAGCGGTACCATTTTTTTGCATGGAAATATGTAGTTTTTTATTGTAGGCTGTAATTTTTAGGAATAACTCACTGAAATCTGTCCGAACAAGAGTCTAGTAAACATCCCGGGTATGATAAAATTTGAAACACGAAATCATAAATTATAATCTAATAAATAATCATAAAAAATAATAATATAAATAATAATAAATTTAATTCAATAATATATTCAAACCAAAAACACTGAAATTTGAAATACAGAGGCAAATTCGCACATCGCTGAGCAAAGTCGCAAAATCGTTTTCAGTGTCTGATGACGAATTTCCCCCACGAATCATTATCACTCAATTCTGCAAGTGGTTCTGATTTACTATCGCTGCTCTAAAACCGCTTTTGACCTAAAGGGACGCTTTTTGGACGCCATGGACTTTTCTAAGTTTCCAGGCAGAAAGAACATTCAAAATGCAGGCAGGGCATATGACAAAGCAGTAGGGACAAAATATATGTGAAATGCATTGAAACAGCAATGACAGCAAAAATGAAATTTTTTAAAAATTTCAAATTTCCCGCCGGTTCCGGCGCCCGTACGTCCCGACGTCACAGGGACCGGAACACGGAAGCCGGATGCTGGCATCGGCCGGAGGAGATGGCCGGGGACGCTGCAGGGGACACATCGCGGGAGCGAAGGACAAGGTAAGCGCTGCAGGGACTCCCAGAGCAACGCCGCATGGTAAGCCCGAGTGTAGCTCAGGGTTACCGCTCTTGGTATAGAAATTTTACCCCGAGCTACACTCGGGATTACCGCTAAGGAGGGTAAGCAGAAGTCAAAAAAGGATGAGGTACCTTTTCCCTACAAGTATACATTCATCACACTAACCAGGTTTAAGTTTCTCTCAGAATTTTTTGATACTGGTAAGTCAAAAATGTTCACCTTTTCCCACAGATGCCCTCCCCATATGTCTTTCAATCTGGAGCACTTAGAACTTGTGGTGGAGAAGAGCTGCTGTAGGGGGTAACACCAGATTGAAGGTGAGTATTGCAGTGTAAGTAGATTTTGTTTTTTGGGGGATTTTGTTACTGTATAGCTGGTATTTTTAGGAAAAAAAAAACATTAGCCTGAAGTTGGACTTTACTTTATGAGTGTAAAGTTTAGGACAAAAGTTGAAGGCAGCATTTTTTTTTAATTCTGGATAGAGTAAGGGAGGGTCAAAACTCCTGCCATTTTGTTTTTTTTTTTTTTTTTGCCATCTGTGTTCTATTCTTAAGATTGCCCTTCACTTCCCGATCCATGGCAGAAACAGGAAGTGAGAAGAAATCCTTCCAAAGTGATGGAATCCCAGGGTGTCACCAGGGTCACCAGAACCAGTGTCCTCATTGGAACAGTTCCCCTTTGTTCCTGTTTTGGGGACAGATTTTCTGTTACTTTAATAATGGTAAACAGGTAAAAGTTGTGATGAACTCGTGCTGCTTTATGTGTGCTCACAAAAAATAAATTAATTAAATTAAAGAAATTTTAAAAATACGTGTATGTGTGATGTCTCAATATATGTGCTGTATGGAACTGCTGCTACCACTGATTCAGTGTACTCACACATTAATATATAGCAATACCAGAAAAAACAATGGTGTGTTGTATTTTTAAAATGATAAAACACCAAAATATGCAATGCAATTACCGTATTTTTCGCTCCATAAGACGCACTTTTTCCCCCCAAAAAAAGGGGGGAAAATGTCAGTGCGTCTTATGGAGCGAATATAAAGCGGCCGTCCAGTATTTCTGCCGCCACCATGTCAGAATAAGGGGCCGGCCGCTCAGCTGTTCTCTGCAGGGCCTTACCTGTTCCTCGCTCCAGCGCTGCACAGTCTTCCCGCTCTGGCTTCTGTGACAGCCGGGTGCCCACTGCGCATGCGCTTCGCTTTGTGAATGGTCATCGCAGTCTCTGGTCATCTGTACTGTGTCAGCAGTCTCTGGTCATCTCCTGTACTATGTCCGCAGTCTCTGGTCATCTCCTGTACTGTGTCAGCAGTCTCTGGTCATCCCCTGTACTGTGTCCGCAGTCTCCGGTCATCTCCTGTACTGTGTCCGCAGTCTCCGGTCATCCCCTGTACTGTGTCCGCAGTCTCTGGTCATCTCCTGTACTGTGTCAGCAGTCTCTGGTCATCTCCTGTACTGTGTCCGCAGTCTCTGGTCATCTCCTGTACTATGTCCGCAGTCTCCGGTCATCTCCTGTACTGTGTCTGCAGTCTTCGGTCATCTCCTGTACTGTGTCCGCAGTCTCTGGTCATCTCCTGTACTGTGTCCGCAGTCTCCGCAGTCTCTGGTCATCTCCTGTACTATGTCTGCAGTCTCTGGCCATCTCCTGTACTATATCCGCAGTCTCTGGCCATCTCCTGTACTGTGTCTGCAGTCTCTGGTCATCTCCTGTACTATATCCGCAGTCTCTGGTCTCTGGTCATCTCCTGTACTATGTCCTCAGTCTCTGGTCATCTCCTGTACTATGTCCTCAGTCTCTGGTCATCTCCTGTACTATATCCGCAGTCTCTGGTCATCTCCTGTACTATGTCCTCAGTCTCTGGTCATCTCCTGTACTGTGTCTGCAGTCCATTGGTTCAGAATTTTTTTTCCTGTTTTTCGCCTCTAAAACCTAGGTGCGTCTTATGGAGTGAAAAATACGGTACTGATTAATCTCCTAAACATATAGTAAGCCAACAGTAACATATATAATGAAAACCTTAATCATTCATGGTGATATATGAACCTGCACTAATGCTAAAACAACATATAACCATCAATGATCCAACAAGTCCAAATATTTCTATTTGGTAAGGTGCAAATAGACCACTAATCACCCTTAAAGTAATATTAAACCCAGGACCCTGCATTCACTATATCTGGTCTCCCCGGACCCTGCATTCACTATATCTGGTCTCCCCAGACCCTGCATTCACTATATCTGGTCTCCCCAGACCCTGCATTCACTACATCTGGTCTCCCCGGACCCTGCATTCACTATATCTGGTCTCCCCGGACCCTGCATTCACTATATCTGGTCTCCCCAGGACCCTGCATTCACTATATCTGGTCTCCCCGGACCCTGCAGTCACTATATCTGGTCTCCCAGGACCCTGCATTCACTATATCTGGTCTCCCAGGACCCTGCATTCACTATATCTGGTCTCCCCGGGACCCTGCATTCACTATATCTGGTCTCCCCGGACCCTGCATTCACTATATCTGGTCCCCCAGGACCCTGCATTCACTATATCTGGTCTCCCAGGACCCTGCATTCACTATATCTGGGTCTCCCAGGACTCCCCCAGGACCCTGCATTCACTATATCTGGTCTCCCCGGACCCTGCATTCACTATATCTGATCTCCCCGGACCCTGCATTCACTATATCTGGTTTCCCCGGACCCTGCATTCACTATATCTGGTCTCCACGGACCCTGCATTCACTATATCCGGTCTCCCTGGACCCTGAATTCACTATATCTGGTCTCCCAGGACCCTGCATTCACTATATCTGGTCTCCCCAGACCCTGCATTTACTATATCTGGTCTCCCCGGACCCTGCATTCACTATATCTGGTTTCCCCGGACCCTGCATTCACTATATCCGGTCTCCCCGGACCCTGCATTCACTATATCCGCTCTCCCTGGACCCTGCATTCACTATATCTGGTCTCCCCGGACCCTGCATTCACTATATCTGGTCTCACAGGACCCTGCATTCACTATATCTGGTCTCCTTGGACCCTGCATTCACTATATCCCGGTCTCCCCGGACCCTGCATTCACTATATCCGGTCTCCCCGGACCCTGCATTCACTATATCCGGTCTCCCAGGACCCTGCATTCACTACATCTGGTCTCCCCGGACCCTGCATTCACTATATCCGGTCTCCCCGGACCCTGCATTCACTACATCCGGTCTCCCCGGACTCTGCATTCACTATATCCGGTCTCCCCGGACCCTGCATTTACTATATCTGGTCTCCCCTGGACCCTGCATTCACTATATCCTCTCTGCCCGGAACCCTGCATTCACTATATCCGGTCTCCCCGGACCCTGCATTCACTATATCCGGTCTCCCCGGACCCTGCATTCACTATATCTGGTCTCCCTGGACCCTGAAACATAATTATTTTAGTAAATATAAACTGCTAAATACCTTTTCTCATCAGCAGTTAGAGCAGTCTTGTGACTTCTATCAGTGTCCAGCTGAGCACTGATTAAAGCTTGTAGGAGGAGTTTTTATTCTCTTACTGTCCTAGGAGATGCATAACCCCTGACCCGCAGTCCGGACAGTGCCGATTGGCCCTGGGCAGATCTCACGCACCCTCTCAAAGGAAAAAAAAACACTTTCTAGCCATACACAGTAAACTGAGCATGGGCAGAGTGACTCCTAGAGCTCTGTACTGTCACCAAATGGATGGGGGACAGTAGAGGAAGGGAGGATTAGAGAAGTCAGGATCAAACATCCTTTTTACACAATGCAGAGGATTAACACCTTAGGTTCCACAGGGATTTTAACAAGCATGGTTCACCTCATACTGATTTTACCGTTGTGCATTTAGTAACACTTTAATATCCGTCCTTAAGCATCATATTCAATGTCCAAATAAAAGTGTTAATTCCGTGACATAAAACATATAATTTTTCACCAAGCACTTTCATGAAGGTTCTTCAGTGCCCAAGCTGCCAACCCACCAATATATGCAATGTCCACTCACTTTAACCACCTCCCTTCCGGCCGTTGTATATAAACAGCCGGATGGTGGCAGTGCAGGGGAGGGTGGCCATTTATAAATGGCCTCCCCGCCCCTCTGTCTGTGCACGCTCCCTGGGATGACGCAGCACCGCAATGTGCGAGGTCGAGGTCGATCATGTGATCACTGATTGGCCAATCAGCGTTCACATGCAGAGTAGTAAGCAAGATGTCACTTCTGACATCATTGCTTACTACGTGTGAAATCTGTGAATGATCACAGAGGTCACATGGTACAGGGCTATTCACAACAGCCTTGTACCATGTTACAAGCTGTGACCAATCACAGCTCACACAGTAGTTCTCAATGGCTGCAAGAATGCAGCCAGAGAGAAGGAGAAATGATTGATTTTACAGCCTTTATGGGTGTAAAAGCAATCAGTGTAAAAAAAAAAAAAAAATCTTCATCACCCCTCACAAGTAGTACAGTGTCACCATGGTGACATTGTACTGCTAGGCTGACAGTATGTAAAAAAATTAAAATAAAAATAAAATAATAAATAAATAATAAAGTAAATAATAAAAAAATACAATAAAAATTAAAAAAAAAAAAAATTTTAAATTATAATTTTTAGTTATAAACTGATTTGGATTATTTTTTTTTGTTAAAAAGATAACAGAATAAATTTTGGCCAAGACTTATGATGAAATATTATTTATTTGCAAAATGTTATAAGAAAAATACTTTTTTTCAACATTTTTGGACTTTTTAATTTACATAGCAAAAAAAACAAAAAAAAACCCAAGTGGTGAATAAATACCACCAAAATAAACCTTTATCTGTCTCACAAAAATGCTAAAAAATTCATATGGGTACAGTGTTGCATGACCGCGCAATTGTCATTCAAAGTGTGATAGCGCTGAAAGCTGAAAATTGGCCTGGGCAGGAAGGGGGGGAAAAGTGTCCGGACTTGAAGTGGTTAATACTCCTATAAATTTAAAGCCTATAATTTTAATTTTTTATTTAAAACCTGTAATATTAGTTCACTTGCGCTTTAACAGAATATTCATGCAGTTTCACCTCCAGCTATTAGCAGCCGCTTCAGGCATAGAGTCCATTTGTTGAGTGACCAATCCTCACTGCCTCCACTTCAAATCATAGCTCAAAGACAGAGAAAACTCTCATAGCGCACACCGTAATGCCTAATAAACTGAACTACCTGATAAGAAAATCTAATCCTCTGGCTGCAGGTACATGAACTCAACCATGGTGATGGATCACATAACTTTTCACAAAGGGTAATGTTAACACTCAACCAGCCAATCAGCATTTCTGTTTGAATAAGGATTCTGTCCTTGGTCATTTACCTTCTTTCAAAGTGAAGCATTTTTGTTCTGATTGCCTGGATCATATTCCATTTGACAAGGCCCGACTGGGGGCATCTGTGTTCAGGTACCAGTAGCTGATGGAAGCCTGGAGGCTATGACAACTAAGTACCACAAAACTTTTATCAGTCTTATCAGGATTTCCCAACTTTTTTTTACCTTGGAGGAACCCTTGGCAAAAATTTTTAAGAGCCCGGGAAACCCCTTAAAACAAAATTTAGATCTGCAGCTCATGGAACATTGGATCTGATCAGTGAGCTGTAGATATAAAACAATTAACAAACAGCATTAAATAAAAAAAAAATCGTATCTCCTTAGGGCTCATGTACACTGCAGCTGATAAACTCACATTTAGGAGCTGTTCAGCGTTTTTTTCAGCATCCCCTGAACTCTCCCTAATGTTTTCCTATGTGTCCATGTACACATCTTCATTTACAGTAGTTTACAGGCATTTGAGTATACAGTCATTTGTTTGAATGCAGAAAACTTGCGTTCAGCGGTCGATTTTATTAGCATTTCAAACACAAATCTCTTGTAAATGCAGCTAAAAGCTGCATATAAGCGTTTGCATCTGAAATTTTGTTTTAACTCTTCCAATTCCCGATGCTGGCCAGAGACTTTTTTCATCATGAAAAATGCATGCAAAGCATTTTCAAGGTCCTCAGATGGACAAAACACTGAATACAGGATGTTCCTACCAAGCTTGTCACACATTGTAATGACCAATTCACACCTCAGACCTCTCCCACCCTTGGAAACAATAGAAATGTTAATGACCATTCACACCTCAAATTCCTCATGAAGACCCCCTGCCAGGTGGCCTTAATGACTCTCCACCAGACACCTTTCCCACCCTTGGAAATAAAAGAAATGTTAATGAGCAACTCACACCTAAGCTAATTTCAATACATACTGCTGTCTCTGCTTCTACTCTCTGTATTTCTCTGAAACAGTCTGAAATAGTTAATAATTGACCACTTTTCAGTGCATTATGGACATTTTGGAGGTTCTTCTGTGCGTATCTTTAAAAAACGCTTCTAAACGCAAATGCACATAAACGCGGTATGCAAACGCAGCTAAACAGACATTTTTTAACCTACATTTTCCAGCAGTCAGTTCTCAGCATTCAGAAGTGTCTTGTGTACATGAGGCCTTAATGTGAAACTTGGACTTTCTTTTTTCTGCACAGATGCTCAATTCTGGGTCAAACTTGAAATAGGCACACAGGAAGTTGCTTTCCTCCACATGCAGCCCAGGGAATTGTGGATGTGGTTGAGTAACTATGGTTTAGAGTAAGGGTATCAAACTTGATATCATCATGGGCCGCATCAGCATTATGGTTGCCCTCAAGGGACCAGTTGTATCTGTAAGACTAGATGTCCAGAGCACCCCATTCCCCTTACATTAGTTGTCCAGAGGCCCCCACCCTCCCATATATCACAGTGCACCCCCCTTAATTTGTGTTGCTTCTGAGGGGAGTAGCTGGGAAGCAGAACATGCAGGGTCTAGAGAAGGAATAGAGGAGGGCAGGATCTGGCCGAGGGGTTCTGTCCTCATGAGACATAGTGGGGATGAAGATGAGAAGGGGGCAGCAAGTGCAGGGGCCACATGAAATAGCCTGGTGGGCCAGATTCACCCTACAGGCCTTGTGGTTGACACGTGGTGTAAAGGATTGCTGGGGTGGTTAGTTCCAGTGTTTTTTCAGGAGCATGGACTTTGATGTGGCTCCCAAAAAATGTCTTGGCATCAGTCTACATAGCAAATGATGGACATTGTGTCCACAGTAGCATTTTCATTGGTAGAGCAGAGTAGGACTGGTCAAAATGGAATACTTTGATGCAGTTGGCCAGCTTAAAAATGTATTGCAATATGTGTGATCTAAAAATCCCTATTCTTATTGCAACATTTGCTGGAAAGAGAAATTAGTTGTGTGCAGAGGGTTCCTCCAGGATTTCCAGTGTTAATATGTGGCTACACCCCTTTAGCACCTGATGGATAAATGCATCTACAAGCTATTGGGATTTGAGCGCAGGTATCTCTTGTTATTGTTACATAGCAATTGGCACTGGCCATAGACATGAAGCTAAAAACATCATCTCTACTGTAGAGGTTAACCCCCCTGGCGGTACTCCCGAGTGTAGCTCGAGGTAACGTTTTAGTACCAAACGCAGTAACCCCGAGCTACACTCAGGTTTAGCATGCGGCGTTGCTCAGGGATTCCCTGCAGCACTTACCTTGTCCTTCGCTCCCGCGATGTGTCCCCTGCCACGTCCCTGGCCATCTCCTCCGGCCAATGCCGGCATCCGGCTTCTGTGTTCCGAACCTTGTGACGTCGGGACGTACGGGCGCCGGGGAAATTTGAAAATTTTAAAAAATTTCATTTTTCCTAAACAAATTTTACATAATAAAACATTGCTGTTTCAACCCATTTCACATACATTTTGTCCCGAGTGCTTTGTCCGGCGCCCTGCCCTGACTGTTCTTTCTGCCTGGAAACTGAGAAAAGTCCATGGCGTCCAAAAAGTGTCCCTTTAGGTCAAAAGTGGGTTTAGATCA